GGCAGCTTTCCAGCCACTCTTCCCCACGCCTGCAGCGTTGCATGGGGTTGTTGGGACCCCAGTGCAGGACCCAGCCCTTGGCCTTGTTGAACCTCAACCTTTTGAGAGGCAGCATCAGGCTCCCTGGAAGCCAGAGCAGGGATTAAACCAGGGGAAGGATGAACAGGAGATCTGAGTCCACCTCAGCATCTTGGTAGGGCTGGGACACCACAAGACGCTGTCAAAATCCAGAATTCAACCCCGCGTCACTGACCCTTCCACTTTACACTGTCTTCAGTCTCTAACATGCTCAGCGGAATTATTTCCCCCGAGCCAAAGAGACTCTTAAAATGTATTTGGCAGAGAAGACGACTTGTTGAAGTAGCAGGGCAAAGGGGGTGGCCGGGAGGAAGGGCGAAGGAGCGAGAGAATGGCAATTACTTACGGGTAATAGGAATAAGAATAGTAGTTCCTCCTGGCAAGCATGCAAACAAAGAGAACAGCAGAAATTGCATAAGCAGCTTTTCTCCAGCATAGGGAAAGGGTTTACAGGTCAACTCGGCTGCCGGAAAATTAAATGCACCGTAAAGAAACCTGGCCCCCCTTTTGCATCTGTAGGTTATTTACTCCGGGCAGAAGCCGGCGTCCCAATGGCAGAGCCCAAGCGCCAGCTCGCAGGGTGCCCACGGTCCCCGCACCGGCAGTGGGGTGTCTGGAGCATCCTTGTCTGAGGAGTTATCCCTACGATTTTTAAGGCTGAACAGCAAACGTGTCCAAAATGTAGGGCACCCTGGGGAGCCAGTGAGGGGCCTGGCAACCCCAGCGGGGGAGACGGGGTCAGGACGTCGTGCTGCCAGTGCGCCAGTTATTAGGGGCGAGCATATTCTGGGGGTGCATTTCCATTCCACACGTCAGTGTTTTTCCAACAGCAAAAAGCTCCAAAGGAGATTAATGGGCTCATCCCAACTTCCCAACAGCGCTGAATTCGGGGCCCTCAGCACTGGGTCTGATTTGTGGCTCTGGTTTGTCCTTTGACAGGTTCACTCCAGGATGCTGAAGCAAAGCTGCTGCTCCTCCTCCTCCTCCCACCCTGCAGCATGGGCAATGGGAATGCAGCAGCCGCACTCATGGCTTCCTACCCGCCGTCCCAACAGCATCGCTCCCAAAAACACATCGGCACTGCCGGCATTTGCTCCACTGGGGACAAATCCGATGCCGTACACACGAGCATCATCCCAGAGCAACAGCAGGCAGGGAGCCACAAGCCAGTCCTGCACCCTTTGCAGTGTGCAGGGATGCTACAGCCTCGCTCTCCCAGCTGGCGTAAATCAGCAAGAATCCTTTAAGGGAGAGCAAAGCCATAAAGAGATCTGCAGGTTTACACAGGCTGAGGTTGTGCCCTGCTATTTTTCTCTCCCCCGTGGCTGTTAACGTACTTTCCTGCCATCATCCCAAGCCCCGCACGGGGAAGGCATTTAATTGCTGCCTTTTCTCTCCTGCTTTGAGAGCCCCCCCGGCCTGGTGCCGCCTCGAGCCCCGCACGGTAAGAAGCCGCTTTCCAGGGCGCTGCACCCCAGTGAAAAGCAGCAGCCAC